GAGCCATGCTGAGACCTGTGTGAGCCTGTGATGCGGCCACTGCCATGGGACCTACACAGCTCTGCCCCCACCAGCCTGTGGTCTCCCTGCACTCTGCATCATTGCATGCGTGAGTCTGAAGAGGGATTTATAGACCAGTACCGGACATTTGATTTGGTCTAGGCTGGGATGTTTGCTTGTTTTGTGATTACTTCTTAATAGAAAGCTCTCATTTGCACACGCATGAGTGTCACCGGATTTGTTTCTCTAGTCAACCCAGCCTGGCAGACATGTCAAGGATCCAATGTAGAATTTCTGCCAGTGGCTGAGTATGTCTATTTCAATTATGCATTCTAGAAATGGAGAAATTACTTCAACCTTGGCCACTTTGGGGACCCATTGAATCTACTGTGAGATGAACCTGAACTCTGCTTAAAGTTGGCCTCCATATACCAACCACCACTGAGGCTGACGGGCCCTAGAAGGTTTGGGCTCTCCTGGACTGTTCAGAGTCAGTATCTTTTAATGCCCCCAAAGTCTGACTACTTTCTTTTTTCCCAATTAGCAACCACTTTTGGGAAAGGCCACAGATCCCTTTGGGGACGGCTGAAGAAAAGATGACCAACATAATGTTTAGACAGAATAGTGGGACCCTTCCTCAAAGGGACCCACCCTCCTCTTAATTCAAGTGGTTTGGGGTCTGTATACTGGCTCAAGTCTGTGAATTGATTGAGGGTCCACGACTTATTCTGGTGATTCAGATTTGACTTTCATTCACCTGATCTAGAATTCTTCCACTTGTATAGATCAAATAAATATTTTGTAGTTTTCCTATGTATTTCACAGCTAGGGATCCCCTGCCTAAGTAGCCAATACCATAAGTCCAAATCAGTCAGTCAGTTCTGATTATTAGTTTGACTCTGTTGCCCATTATGGTAACCACACTCACTTTGTCTTTGGTCATTAAGTATTGCCACTTGGCCACTACCCCCTTGTGGCCAATGAGCCCTTTGTAGTTAGGCTACTTCTCCCTAAAGGCTTGCAGTCATCGGTTTGGTTCCTGTAGGTGGAGTTCACACCCTACTCTTAATGGGCTCTAGAGTTGAGCCAGGGAACCGGTCAAACCTGCTCAGTGACATCCAAAGTTAGGCTGCCAACCTGAATCTAGGATCCACACATCTTGTCACGTGTATACCCCAATCCGTCCTCTTCCTATTGTGTGTATATGGCTAGATTGTCCCCCTCTCATTGCTGTGTAACCTATAGTGCAACCCTTTCCTGTGACGTATGTCTTCACCTGTAATTAGGGGGCTTGCATGTCCCCAGAGAATATAAAAGCCTTGGTTAGCATTAAATATCTCTCTCTCTCCACGTGGACCACCAAGTGAGGCTGAGGTGAGCATGCTACTATGAAATGTGTCTGACATCTTCATTTTACTCTCTCTTCTATCTCTCATGCTCTCTATAACTTTACTATAATCCTTACTTATTATCACTGTACAATTGCGCCTACCAGACCCGTGATGATGTGTTAGGGCACGCACCCTGACACTTGTGCCATGAAAGAATGCTTTATTTATTAGAATATTTGATATTAAAGGGCTGATTGCTAAAAACTAAGCCCAGAATTTTATCACAAAAGTACCTGAATTACCATGCCAACTGAATTTTCAACTTGGAAGGCTGTCTGGTGTTAAAGCGAGAGCATCTATTGAGAAGAAACATGACCCTGAACCTTGGGGTGGGGATATACTGGTGACTAATAAGGACGATGAGGACATTGGGCTCTACATTCCACTGAATCACTTCAGCCTACAGCACCACACTTCCCATTTGAAGGGAAGATTCCACCTTTGCTGGCTAATCAGTATAACTATTATCCCCTCCACCCACATTTGAAGAGGTTAACGCGCATACTGATGTGGCACTTGGTGCTGTTGACAGAGCGTTGCCTGAGACAACAATAAGACCAAACTCATTGCCATCAATTCCATTCCAACTCTTGAGACCCTATTGGCCGGGGTAGAGCTGCACCTCTTTCTCCCGAGGAACAGCTGTGGGGTCAGACTGCTGACTGATTAGCAGCCCATAGCTACCATGCCTCGAGAGCTCCGAAAGGTAAGTCCCAAAAGGTTAAGTGGAACGCGGTATTGCCAATGAAGAAGTAATTGGAAGTCACAAAAGTCTCTCAAGCAATCTCTAGCTTCATTTTTTCTATCACCAAGACAATATTTTCCAACGACTGTTCCTACTGCTTTGTTCCCAAGTTTTGCATTCCAATCACCAATGTTTATCCATGAATCTTGTGTGCATGTTTTATGAATTTCAGACCGAAGACATTCGTAAAATTCTTTAATTTCTTTAGTGGTTGGTACATAAGTCTGAATAATAGTGGTATGAATAATTTATTTGTATGTCCTGCCACAGACAGCGTTGTATTTCAAGCTTGATCTTGAAATGTTCTTTTTAAAAATAAAGGCACTACTCTGCCTCTTGAATTTATCATTGGCAGCACAGTAAACCATGATTTTCTGATTCAAGAACAGCAGCTTATTCATGCCTAGGATAACAATAAATGTCCATTTAATTTTTGTGTGTAAATTGTTGAGTAGAAAACTGGTCTGTAAATCATCACCTGATTCAAATTTTAAAAGATAAGAAAGAATAATAAAATTAAAAACTCCACCAGCCTCTGCAAATTAATGTATTCCAAAACGATTTCCTCATTTTAGGTATCTTCTAGTACCAAAATCTGTCAAATGCTCTTTCAGCATTTTTGCAGCATGCAGGCCACTACAGTATACCAAATGGACAAAAGAAGTGGGGACCACAGGCCTAGAGGTTGGGATTTACAATACATCTTTTTTGAGGGACATAATTTAATCTATAACACCAAACAAACCCTGCTTATGCTGTTTTCTTCTTTCATCTTTTTTTTTTTTTTTTAGGATGAGAAGAACCAAGTTTTAACCACAAACATTTGGCTACAAATGGTAAGTTAGCACAATGGCAATCACCTCTCCCTTCTTTCACCTTCCATCTTGCCCACAGACACTTGTACTTGGTTTGTAGAGAGAATGGAGGGCCCAGGACGAGATCAGACTATTACCCTGATTCTACTTCTGCCGACAGTGAGATTGAGAGCCCTGATTTTCAGGGTGAGACTGGACACTGCAGTGCTGGGCATAGACTTGTATTTGACGACATAGCGATTTGGTAAAATTCCAAAAATAATTCATGTGGTACAATGTGAATGTAATTGTGTTCCTTAAAAAATATGTGTTATTGTCCTGGTTTCTCTATCTGTAGTTGCATTCCTGTTTGGAAATCGGGTCTTTCTTTGGTTATCTTAATGAGGTTGTACAGAGTAGGGTAGATTCTAAACCTAATCCTTTCTAAATGATCGAAAGAGCAGAACGGACAGAGAGACTGGGGGAAATACTCAGGAGGAAGACACAACAAGGAAGGACCAGGAAGGACCAGAAATTTCAGGGAAAGCTTCAGGCTACTAACAAGGAAGAAGGAAGACCTAAGTCCTGATTTCTTACTTAGAACTGTGAGACAATTCATGTTTCATAAAGCCACGCCTTGTGGTGTCTGTGTGACGACAAGAGTAGGTGTCCCGGACAACACACGTGATACAGGACTGCACTGGGTCCGAAGTGTTCTGAGTACCAGCTTCTCCTCTGTGCTCTCCACAGGAATTCATGGGAGTCAGATGGGACTTGCCCAAGTCAGAGCTCTTTATGCTTCCTGTTCTACTGACTCCTACACGAATTTTGAAAGGCTATATTACATTCACATACTTTTATTTTAACATATAAAATTCTAACTTTTTAATATTAACCTCTAAAAACAGAACATTTACTCTATATTTTAAGCATAATTCAGTTCCACAATTTAATATCCATAAAATTTATTTTAAAATACACGACCAGCCCCTCTCTATTGTTGGAAATTTCACGGAGCTCCTTTTCTTCATTGTTTGTGTATTTGTATATTACTTTCTGTGCAGAATTTTATCCTAATATGATACAATTTCATATTTGTAGATAATTAGTCACTCTGATTATCTCAAATACAAACATTTACATAAAATAATTCCCTCAGATCATAAGTTCTTGTTACTTACAACTCTAAATGAGAAAAAGTTGCCAGACATGGGAACAGGTTAACAGCACACTAGAACCCTAGGAAGTGGGTTATAAATGGCAAGTGTGGTGGGATTAGCTGAGCTCCATGAGCTTCCTAGTGTCTGGACATTTTGAATATCCAATAAGAAGAGGTTGTTGGAAGGTGTTAGGCATCTGGGATCCTCTGGCAATTGGCTATCTGTGATATAACCCAGGAGTATTAGAGTCTGATGAAGAAGTAGTTGGGATGTGGCTAAGCAAACTGCTTATGAATTGGAATTGAAGATTTTTAATCAGGAATTCAAAGCTGGATCAATATATGTATGTATATATATATATTATATAAAATAAATCATATATCCCATCTCCAACTGGGAAATATGCACCAGGAGCACAGAACTCTGGTAGAATTTGCTCTCACTATCTAGCTACTACCTCACTACTGCTGTGCTCTGGTGCCATGGGGCTGGTTCTGGTCAATTCTGTACAACAGAAGGGCACACTGCCCAGGTCTGCACCAACCTCACAGTTGTTCCTATGCTTGAGCCCATTACTGCAGCCACAGTGGCAATCCGTCTTGTTGCATGCCTCCCTTTTTTTCACTAGCAAACGCTGAAGGGCAAACAAGAAAGCATGTGTGAGATAAATGAATAAGACAAGCACTCAAGGTGAATCTAGGAAGGACTAAGATATTTAATACAAAATGAAGCCAATTTCCAATAACATAGGGACACTAGTGTCAGTGGGAACTTGGGAGTAATGAAAAAGCTTATTATTTACCTTAAAACTGGTCATTTTCCATGCTCCTTATGTTTGGAGATGTTGATATTTTTCCTACAGAAAGAGAAAAATATCATGGTTAGCTCTGTATCCCAGGTGCCCAGATTCTCTAGCCCTCTGTGAAGGATTGGTCCTCAGCAGTATTTGACAATGCTGAATTTAAAAGATCATTGATTTCTATGAAATACATATTAGATCATTGAGTTTGTGTACTCTGTAAGTAAAAATCCTTGCTCTGGAGGATGTTACCAGAGACCTCCAAAGTTCTTTCAAATATAGCTTATTTCAAATTAAAACTTGTATTTTCAGAATTATCAGCAACTTTGTTTTAAAGCTCACTTTAACTTCTTATTTTTTTGGAGCACCTAACATCGGGACAATATGGAGCTAGAACCTGTAAGGGGACCACAAGGAATATGGTTCTACTTTTAAGCCGTTTACAGTGACTGTGTCATCAATACACTAAGAAAAAAAATTAAACTAGTATGGGCAAATAACTCAAATAGAGATGTGTAGGGGCAGACTGGTGGGATCCATACGTGGTGAAAGTCTGCCTTTGGTATCTAGTACGTGCCCTTGTCAAGGACAGCCACACGTTTATCTGGGAAGTAGCATCTGTAGTTCATAAAATTAATAACTCTATCTCCCAACTGAATTTTTAAGGAATCACAAAAACGTGGGTGTAAAACATACCGTATATCCTTGAGTATAAGCCGACCAAACTAACAGCCAAGGCACCTAATTTTATCACAAAAACTGCATTAAAAATATGCTGAAAAACTTGGCTTATACATGAGTATATACGGTACCATGAAAATTAAGGTGATGACCCAGTGCTCCAAGACATGAATGCAACATACTGGCATGAAGCAGGGAACCAGTAGAGAGGTCTGACAGGCCCGCCTCAATCCCAACTACATGGACAGGCCCACTCCCCACAGAATTTACTTCAGAGGACAGCACTGAAGCTACAGCTCGGGGAGAGGGACTTGTCTGATCAGAGCACATGGGAGCAAATGAAGGGGGAGGAAGAGAGAGTGGAACACATCCTGGCCCACCAAGCCCTAAGGACAATATACCCGCTCAGAACAGCCAAAGCAGAGGACCATAAGGCCAGCCCCCCTATGAGACACAACGTCCCTCACTAACCCATAGCGCTATGGGGGACAACACTGGCAACGCAGTGTGGGAATTGCGCCCCATCTGACCCCACCACACTGAGGTGAAACACTAAGGGTGTGCAACAGAACAGCAAAGGGAACAGAGCAACGAAGTCCCCAGGGAACACCAAAAATAGACTTTGGGGTCCGGGCGTGGCACCCCATCA